CATATGTTTTATTTCTAGTCTCTTATTCTCCACTGCTGACATCTGCATGTACACACAACCTTAGAATTCTAAATCTCATCTGTTCCCGCTGCCTATTCTTCACCTGAAGTCATAATCCCCTGTTTGTCACATCATAATCACTTCCCCAGCAGAGCATGGTTGCTTCAGGTGGGGAATAAAGCAGCAGGAGCAGATGAACTCTTAGAAACAAAGATCCTAATTTCTTACAGCAAGGGACAACCTTCACTAAGCCTATTTGGCTTTATAGATTATACCCTCCTGGAGTCCCACGGAGTAATACATGAATGCTAGAAAGCACCCATGTATAATATGCTGGTTCATCCAAACATGGCGAGGGGAGAGAGGCAGGGATAAAGCAAATGCTTCTCAGGTGTCACTCAAAATAATCGTTAGCGTCTACTAACAGGGTAACATTCACCGGAAAGAATAAAATATCGCCAGAGTCATCCTTATTAGGCCGAACTTAACAAGACTTTGCACCAGACAGTGGCTGTGGAAGTCACTAATGAAAGTCCCTCTGACCTGGAGATATGCCAGCCCATGGAGGATGAATGGTTGATCTTCGTTCTTTGGTATAAGCGCTTTCATATTTTTCCTAACAGTGAAAACAGTCTTGTCATCTTCACACTGTCACAATTTTCCTTCCCTCCCTTGCCTTTTTGTCCAAAGCTCTCAAAAAACAAAACCCAAAAACCAAAACCAAGTCAAACAAATGAAAAAAGAAATACCACAGAGAAGACATACACAGCAAATGTCATTAATCACTTGAGCAGTACAAATGAACACATTTCCATCAGTAGGTATAATATATTTTCTATTTTGTTAATATTAGTATTATAATAATGGAGTATTATCCCTTAGCCGAGGTAATAGGATGAACACTGCTTATTGGTCAATTTAATGTTGAAGAAGGGATCTTTGGGCAGCTCTGCCTAGGAGGGGGCAGCAGGCTATTCAGAGCTTCAGAGACTTTAAGTGCTGATCAATAAGTGCAAATTTTAAATTAATTATCCTTGGAAAGAACTACTGACACGTACTGAAACCTGTCAATTTTCGTGGAAGGCTCTATGTTTGATTCAACTTCTAAAAATAGGTTTTTTTGATTTGTTTGTTTGTTTATCCCTAAAGGTGTCTGACCATAGCAAGTACTCAAATGAATGGTTAGCTAATGGTAAGAGAGTTAAGCTAATGAACTCAACTACCCTTCTGTCCTAGAAGCAGAAGTCCTAGTGAGAGAGAACAGATGAATAAATAAAATTCTGTCACCATTTCAGGAAAGAGCTCATGAGGTAGCAGCATTTCTCTCATTTGTAAAAAAAAAATAGCTACTGATAGTATAACGTGTATCTTGCTTTGAAACGTTTTATAAAAGAAGCATGACCACAGCCTTGAGCATTTATTTTTTTATCAAGACAATCAAGTGAGCACCTACTAAGTGAGATGTACCAGAGAGAGAACTGACTTCTCACTGGGACAGACATACGATTCTGTGCATGGCTATGAGCATCCAGAGGGCACAGCGTGCAATTGCTTCATACTAACCAGCATAGTTCCTGGCATGCACAGAATACAATACAAGTTAGGTGAAAAGAATGAATAAATCATGAACCAAAAAATTACAAGGACTCTCAGAAATTGCAGGAATTACCTGTATTCATTTGTTTATAGCTTGTCTCCTTTCTAGGCCATAACCCCAAGAAAGCAAGGATTTCATCTAACTTGTGTTTAATGCCTAAAATAGTATCCAACTCAGGAACTTACTTGTGGAATAAATAAATAAATATGGCTAATGAGAGATATTTTTCAGTTGGAGAAACTAAAGTCATTTATTCAATTTGACCAGTCTTAATATAATCTACCTATGTTAGAAGTACAAATTGCATAAATTTACAAGATAAGATAAACCCAAATAAATGCACTCAAATCTTCAATGATAAGGATGCTTCTTTTTTTTCTCTCCTATTATGCCTGGCTAAATTTTGAGCTATAGCAATTGCTCAGAGCATGATTATGAATCAAGGAAATTAAAGAAAGCATTAGAATTAGAAAAAAGATAATTTACTTTTATCTTTCCCTTCTATTGGCAAGAGAGTTCAGATAAAATACACCTTTTATAAAACTACATCTAGAGCACAATGTGTAGAAAATTTAGAATGAGATTAAAAATTTTAGAAAAAGTCATAATTCTTAAATTAAGATGGGTTAATATATAAATAAAGAGAATATTAGTCTTTTGAAAGTAGTCCAGATTAGAAATCAACACAGAGAGGGCAAGGGAAAGGAGGGATTTTACTTCTGCTTATTAAAGAATCAAAATAAAACAAACATGTTTGTAATGTCTCTGCAATAAAATTCAAGGTGCACACATGTAAACAAGAAAGAATAAGATCATATTAGTGGCGCATTTTTATGCCAATATTTTTCTATATTTGGCTTTAAAATGATGATCTATCTAAATTTACCCGGCACAGTACTTTAGATCTAATTAATCAATGTGAAGGAATATTTATAAAGTAAAAGAACAAGCAGGCCCATAACAGTATTTCATACAAGACTTTGAATTTTCATGTTTTAACCATAAATAAACATATGTTAATTCAGTGCTAAGTTAAAACAGTTAAAAATACATAGAACACATTAACAATTTCTTTGTATGCTGATGAGGAAATGTTTCAAACATGACTGAGGTTGCATAAAATCCTATAAACTCGCTTATTTTTAAAGATCAGTTAAGTATCATATTTGAGTATGCTTCTATAAAATAATTACCTCTGGATCTTACGGCACAGAGGAATAGTTGGGGCCCATCAATTTCAAGTCTCCTTTCTGTACTTGCATGCAGTTGTTAATGTCTCCTTGACCACATTTCCACAATGCCATTCTCAGTCATATTGAATCCAATCTGATACATTCAATTTAACTAATCAAAGACCTAGGACTAAGTTTAGTCCATGTCTAAGCTCCTCCTCCCAGTTGAGATATGCTAGTTGAGATATGCTAGTCCTCAGGAATGAAGCAGGGAAAAGCTAGGACAACCAAAGAAATAGGGTTGAGGCTGCTTAGTTGGTGGCTTAAAACAAAAAAATAGATTCAGATTGCCGTATTGGCCACTAACTGAGTGACCCATGTGATCAGATATTTCATAATACTATCAGAACTACCTAGTTCTGAAACATATCTCATAGAGCATCATAGGTCACTCACTCCAACTGGTTCTGAGCTATTATACTTTTTTTAATTAGATTTTTAAAATGTGATTTTTTTCCCAACTGACCGTCTTTCCATAGGCTGAACAATTCAACTATCCTTACATGAAAAAACTTGCTGCTTTTACATACTGAAATTTAATGATTTGAGATCACTTTCCTAATTTATCAATTTTCTTGAAACTTAACTAGAGAATATTTACTATATCTCCCAGCTTCAAATTAAAACAATCTCATGACACATTCAATTCCATTCTCTAATTTATTAATACAAATATTGAACACTAAGATTTATAATAGAATCTTTGCAGGACTATTAAACATTCCTTCTTACTTGACAAACTAGGTCTGACAACGAAGTTCGCGAACTTGCCACTGTGTGCTTACATTGGGAGCATTGTATCAACAATTCGGTAAGGTTTCATAACCTTGGTATATCAGTGTCTCACAGATGTGTTTGTGTCGACGTATGGCAGTGTCTTGCTAAGTGGCATTCACTATTGCATGTTTTTGTGTGCCGTTACAAGAATGTCACAGCTTGAATTAGAACAACAAACAGACATTAAATTTCTTGTTAAACTTGGCAACAGTGGAAGTGAAATCAGGGGCATGTTAGTCCTAGTTTATGGGGATCATGTCATGAAGAAAATGGCAGGATACAAGTAGATTAAACGTTTTTCTGAGGGGAAGGAAAGTGTTACTGACAGAGAGGTGAGGACAGTCAGTAACAAGCAGAACTGATGCAAAAATCTGTTGAATTGTGTGTCAGTATTGTCGGCTAACTGTGAGAAGCATAGCAGACCAAATAAACATCAATAGAGAATCAGTTAGGAAAATCTTAACTGAAAATCTTGGCATTAGAAAGCTGTGTGCAAAAATGTTCCCAAAGGAGCTCTTGCATCATGACAATGCACCAGCTCACACAGCACTGTCTAAAGGTTTTTAGCTAATAAATGAAAAACTGTATAGAACACCTTCCCTACTCACCTGATCTGGCCCCCAGTGACTTTTGTCTTTACCCAAAGATAAAGAAAATAATGAAAGGAAGACATTTTGATGACATTCAGGACATCAAGGGTAATACGGCAACAGCTCTGGTGGCACAAATTATCACATTTAAAGTAGAGAAGAGGAATTAATTCATGGTAGAGTGCTTTATGGTTTCTGCAATCATGTTACTACATGTATGTCCTTTGAGGCTTATTTTCTAATGCTTAAGAAATGTCGAAAGGAATAATAATCTGTAACAGACAAACACATGCATACATGTGGGTTTTCTAAAGATCATATAAATCCATGATGACAATTAATATGTCACATGCAAATAATAAAGGCTTATTAATTGGCCTTCAAGCAAAAGCACTACCCAATTCCATATGTGAGACAAACATACCTAACATGAATTTTTCTAATCGTTCTTAATATATAAAACATTTTCACTACATTTCTTTTGTCTCTTTTTCTCATAAGGCCCAGATTATGGTTAATATCTCATGACACCAAAAGTAATACTACAACAGATATTAAAGCATTTTTTCAGCCACTTATTCCATAAAATATTAATTGCAAGCCTGTATATGTGCTGTATATATAGGGGATTAGGTAACTGAGTTCCTGCTCAGTTCTAAATCAATAAAAGAGAACACGCATAGCATCCATCATCATTCACTCTTCCTTTAGTATGCAATAACTGCAAGTGGAAGATTTTTTTAAATATATATTTAAGCACTCAGGGAGACAACACAAGCTAGAGAGGATGTGAACAATACTTACCTAGGAATGACAGGTTTTTCTCTAGAAGCAAGTCTCTCAGCATGACTTCGTGCTCATGACCAATGGCACTGGGAAGTTAGTTAAGGAGGGTAGCAAAGGCAGAATTATATTATCAGGAAAACACTAACATCGAGTATATACTTTGAGATGAAATGGAGAATGGAGGTCATTTTAGCAACCATTTTCACTTTTAGCCCACAACTCCAAGGAATGGCATTTCTACACAGAATCCCTCATTTAAATGGCTTGATGGAATTTTTCTGTCATTTTTCTATGTATTTTGTCAAAGATGTGCAAATGAATGTGTACCTTAACAGCTTTTGAAAAAAGAGAGTAATTTTAAACATATATTAATCTGAATTAAAAATCCCTCAATTCAATTGGGCATAGTGGCTCACACCCATAATCCCAAATATGCCAGAGCCTGAGGTGAGGATCGTTTGATCTCAGGAGTTCAAGACCAACCTGAGCAACACAGTGAGAACCTGTCCCTAAAAATCATTAATTAATTTTTAAAATCCCTCAACGCGGGAAACTGCTAGGGGCAGGAGGGGCATACCTCATCAACAAGGGTAACTGCATGATCAATGTTTGTATACTTAACCCTAAGTTGTACCTCACATCTTTATAATAAATAAATAAATTTTTAAAAATTTTAAAAAACATCCCTCAATTCAATTTAGCACACATTTATTAAGCACCTACTAAGTATAGCAAAGAATACCAACCAGCCTTTCACCTAAAAGGGTTTCTAACCTTACAGAGTTCAGTAAATCTGCAAACTCACACTTGCCATCAAGGCAGCATTGAGCAGCTTCTCTGTTTTACCTCCAGGCTACTATGGTTAAACTTCTGTGACTTGGGAAGCCAAGCAACTGACTTGTTAAGAATATTTAGAATCTGTTAGTAGACAACTGAGAATAAGGGTATGGGTGCAGAGGCTGCTTTAAGAGTCTTTTTCTCATGTATGTGCATGTGTACACATATATGTATACATATAAATAAGTACATATGTAACTATATAAATTCTTTTAGTGCTTTTTATCCTCATAATTATTATCATCCTTATTTTATAAATGGGGAAACTGAGGCTTAGAAAGGAAACTACATGAGGCCAAACAGTTCATGTGTGGCAAAGCGGAGAAAGAGACCGAGATCTCTGGAAGGCCTTTATTTTTGACCTCCAAATTCAATTTTTTTAAAAAAGATGATGTTGTTTATCAAGTTCAGTACCATAAGAACATGGACAGATATGATAAATGTTAGCAAATGCTGTGAAAAAAAGTATCAAGATTATGTGATAGCAATTGATAATAGTTAATATTTCTTAAATATCACATATGAAGACTTTTTGCTAAACACTGAAATATCATCTTCCCAACTTAATCTTCCCAACAAACATATGAGTAGATACTATTATTAGACTCATTTTTAGAGCTAAGGAAAGAAGGGTTCAGGAAGGCTGAGGAGCTTGCTAAAGGTTCCATGGCAGGCAAATGATGAAATTAGGAGTAGGACCTAGAAAGCTGGTCTATTTTCTGAAGAGACGAGATTGCACAAAGTCTGAAAAGGAGTGTTAGCCTATTCTGGTACTTTAATTCAGTCAAAAGCATTTGGTAATGATTATCTGAATCATTACCTTCATTCTTCATTTTACTGGTAATGTCACCCTGGTTACATCACTCCTTGGCTTAAGAGACTCTGTTTCTGATCACATACTGCAAGAATTCGACTTAAATAAAATCAAATTTATATATCATTTATAAAAAAAAATTCCTAGAGAATCGTCTTGCCCTTTATCAACACATACAGGTGATGTCATTTACATTTTATAAATTGAGAGATGTGGCCATTTATGTAAACCAGCAAAATAAGCCCTAAGTCTTCATTACTGCCTTTTCCTCCTGTTGCTCCCCTTCCCTCATGCGCATGGCTGTACTTATTTAATTTCTAATTGGAAACCAAATAAAGGAAACAAATTTTTAAATCACAAAATTTCACACATTTTCAGAGTCCTTCAGAGACATTTGACGAGTAACTCTCAGTGGTCTCTCATTACTAGGGGCATCCCACATTTTAGAACTAAATTATTTACTTCTATTTCACATAAATGTGCTCTCATTTTTATTGCTGTAAATTATTTACATCTAAAATGTTGAATCATGAAACTGAGGTTACTGATGGTACAGAAATGAAACCCACAGCATTTGAAGCTTCCTGCATCATTATCTTTCCTTGCTTCACTGTTTATGCCTCTGTCTAATAGCTGTGTCCTGGAGTCACACTTTAGAAAGCTGAGGTGGCTGGCTTCTCACATTTTTTTGTTGGTGAGTATGAGCTGTGGTGAGCATGGCTACATAGGAAAATGTAGTGTAGACATCAAAAGAAAGACAGTGCCCAATGACGATGTATATACGTTTTGCTAACTGTGCTTTCTGTGGTGCCTTACTGGCAAATGCCCAATTTACTTTATTCTACTTACACAAATGTAACATTTTCATAATGCAGTAAAAAGATTTAGCACCTATTTTATTTACCAAATATGTGTTTTCTTTCATACAAAATGATGTAATTTATTGAGAGTGAGCAATATAAATATTCCCAAATTATCAGAACAATACACAAACAGCATTTCTACTCACATGGAAAAACCAATAATTTTTATTAGGTGTGAAATAAAATAATTCCTGTTGATCGGTCTAGAAAACATCTATGCAAGTGTATTTACACATTATATGAAAGTGCTACCACTTTAGTGCAAAGATAAAATGAGTTTCTCTATAAACTTCCCAGCCTGTTTTTTTTGTGTGGTAAAAGCAATCACCAATTTGAAATTTTGGAAAGACGTACTTCTTGATTATGCTTTGCTTGATATAAACACATGTAAGGTCTAGAAAATAAAGCTTATAAAAACTATAATTTTGCTGGCAATAGACATAATGAAACTGAAAAACTTATAATCTACTCAGTGAATGTAATTTACAGACATAAATCATTATCTTTATCAATTGAAATCATGTACTACATTAAATTCTACTGGCAATAACACTGGCCAAAAAAAGAAAGTGAATGATGGTAAAAATGTAAGGAAAATACTCCAGATAGAATTTATAATGCTCTATAAGCAGAAACACTTAGACTTTGTCTATAATAATACCTATTATTGATGTATGGCAGTGACCATGGGCAAAACTTGTAAATAACCTCACAAGCCATTTTCTTCGCCAGCAATACAGCAATCTAGTTTCCCGTAAGCATCTCAACTATTACTGAAAAATAGCCTCCTGGCATTTACAAAGCAGTTGACTTCATACTTTAGTCCATGCATGTATAATTAGATAGTTATATTTAAAATCAATATGCAATCCTTCAAAAGACATTATGCTTTTAAAACCTTAACTTTAAATTGATTTTTAACTATTTTATGTGCTTTAAAATTAACATGTAATTCAACCCCAGATACTCTGAGATGGTGTCAGTTGTTATATGAATGTGCTAAACTTTATCAGTGTAGCAACATGAGGTTGGCACTCCTACAATTTCTAACACTATCATTAATTTTATACTGAAAATAGAAGCACAGTTTTGCTTTGGTTTAATAAAAAGGTAAATCTGTGACAATGCTGTGAGTTTGTTAATTTTATCTAGATTGGAGGAATAGTCTTGGATAATAAATATATAAAGGACAATATTTTTGGTATCATATATTCTTGCAAGAAAGCTCTGTTAAAAAATTATTTAACCAAAGGTTAATTTTATTTATAAAAGAATGATTTTCTTATCAACATTTTTACTGACTCTTGAGCCTTCATGAAACAAGGTGGAATACACATATGCACGCCCATTTGACTAGCAAAGTTTTCCAGCAAAAATTCTCCTGATTGGTAATCACTGAAGCACAACTTGTCACAGTGCTATCCGTGCTAATAAAACCCATACCAGGAGGGTCACGTTTATATTATTAAGAGATGTGAGACTCATGGAATCAAATAGAAACTATTTTCATAAAAAATTATGAATTATTTACTATTTAAATATTTTTAGTCAAGGGTTATAAAAATTCTTATTGTTGCCACATTACTAAATTTATTGATTAATAAAGTCCTGCTTTATGAAGTAGTTACTGTCCACTCAATCCTCTTTTAAGAAGTAAACATTAACTCTCAGTGTCTTTAAAGAAAAATGACTTGGACATCTGTTTTCACAGTCTCAAATTCAGTTCAGAGGGACAATTAGCTTGATTTCACTAAACATGTTTATTAGGAATCCAAATGACAGCTCAGATTGTAATCAGCATATAAGCAGTAAGAATCCACTCCCTTTAAAATGTGATGGCCTCTGGCGACATTTTAAAATCACAAGCTCCTTTAACTCTAGACTCAAAATTTATTCAAGTAGATTCAATGGAATTTGGCCCATTTAAATGGAGAATCGTCATATTTTTTAAAAGGCTCATTGAAATAGCTGGATACATTCCAAGACAGTTGTTACCTTCCTAATAACTCTGTACCTTTAAACTCAATGAAAACAAGCAGTTTGAAATAAGCATGTGGATGAGCAACTGCTGAACTGACATCTTCCTGCGGTCTGTCTGATTTTTCTTAAGCTGTAGAAAAGGAATGGTCTGTAGTGACCCTCCAGTTGATTGAATGTAAAGTAGAAGAGTATGAAATGTGTTTTGTGAAGCAGAACTTTATGTCAGGTTAAAGCTAGACACATCTCCTCCACTGAGTCTAAGCTCGTCAATTGTGCACCTAAAATTTTATGGGAAAGGATACTGCTTGATGCAGTCCACCAGTGGTCCATAACAGCAGTCGTTCACAATGCACTGCAGACAAAAAGGAGAAGGAGTATGGGGTGGGGCAACTACCGAAACTATTACAGTAAACAGTTTCCTAAAAGCAGTAATTACTTTTCTCCCACCACCTCCCCCCAAAAAGAAAGCTATCGAAAGGCTATTCAGATTTAATCACAGAAAACAAAAACTGCATGCTTTTTATTCACTATAAAAGCAAGCTATTAAAAAGTGAAATGCTCTTCTCACAAATATTGCACTGCCATTTATGGTGCACCCTGACCTCAGTGATAGTTTATGATGACAGTAATTAAATGAGGTTTAAAATCCTTTACTCTGCTAGGCAGATAACAGCATTGCCACTGAAAATAGACAGCTGTGATTAATACCTGATAGACCTGATTTGCTAGAACTCCATCTGGAATCTGAGAAGGGTCCCGTAGCATACTATTTATAACAGACTTGGAGGCTGCAGAAGAAAAGAGATGAACTGTTAGCAGATCGTCAACATACTTTTAATGCTACATGAGAAGTGACATATACCTGCATCTACACAAACCATGACAATGAAAACATTACTGATACTAATCTTCTTTTTTAAATCTAAAGGAAGCTTTTAATTAGAGCATTTTGCCAAGTTTATAAGCACACTGCCAGATTTGATAATGACCTAATTTTTCCGAGGTAAATTAACAAGTACAGACCTAAAGCATATGTCTCTTTTGCAGATAAATTAGCTTTGAAAAAGCCCCATTTGGAAACACATACACATAATGAAAACAATCAGAAAATAAAATATTTCCCTTTTGCAGGCAGGTATTTTATAACCAAGCATATGTATATGGAGAGCTTAGTGAAGGCAGGTCAAAGACTTCAATTACGAGTTTCAGCTAAGAAAGCATCTCCAAATTCTAACCCTTTCCAAAATAATTCTCATCAACTGACATTAAATGTTATGTCCATCTCACAGGTGGAGAAAGGAGGGAAAACTGACTGGTAATTGAGAAAATCTTTAAATAAGGGAAAAATTCACATGCGTGCACACATTTTCCACCCCAAATATGCCTCATCCACTTGCGAATTATGCTGAACCCACAGAGAACTACTCTAGAAGGAGAGAGGTGCTGAGAGAGAAATCTAATGAAGGATGCTCTAGCAGGTGACATCCTTTGAAAAGCAAAGTCACAGATCCTGATCTCACTGTTCACAAGGCATGTGGTAGCCAAGGTAGAATTCCTCTTAATATACAGGAGGAAGGTAGGTCTCCAGGTTGGAGCTAAGTCAGGTGATGCCTAGGAATTGATTCTTTCAAGTCATCCTGTGGAATCCTTCCCAAATATTTAGCAAAATGACTTACAGTCTGGTCCACACAAGCACAAATCAAGATGCATAGTGGGTAATCATCTAGTTAATAAAATGAACATAGACCACAGATTTACATCATTCGAGTTCTGGGATGATGTTGGGTCAATTTTTTTTTAAAGATGATGCTCTTTATCAAGTTCAGTACTATAAGAACACTGACAGATTTGATAAATGTTAGTAAATACTGTGAAAAGAAATAAGAAAATTACATCTTACTCACTTATGCATAGCACTGGGTTCACAAAGAAAAAATGAAGTACAATTATTTTAATTACTGCCTATTCTCTGTCACATAATGGCATTCTTACAACGACGCTTATATATTTCATAGCCATTTGTAAACATGTTTGCACTGCACACGGAAAGGCCATACGAAAGAGCATCACCTCAGCTATCCTATCCAGTTCTACCTCTATGATGAGCTCTGCAGCCTGGGCAAGTTATGTAGCTTCCCAAGCTCAATGCCTTCATCTATAGAAGAAGATAATATTATTTGAGTTGATGACCTTAGAGGGTCCTTGTGTGAGACTCTAGAGAAAACAGCTACAACAGCATTTTGTTAAGTTTTAATACTGGTAAGAATCAAATCAGACTTAGGCATTTACTTTATATAAACTTAGATTGGACCCAATTATTTCTGAAAGAAATTATCATGAATAAGAGGTACAAATAATGGCAAAAAGAAGCAGTGAATCATCAGCTCATAAAAGAACAGATTATGGCACAAATGATATTAAACAGATAATAATGTGCCTAGTAAACTCAGTTTTCCCAACCTAATTCCTGACCAACCACAGGAGACCAAAGCAGTTGTTCACATTTTTGGTCACGTTCTCTGAGGGTATTCTCTCTGGCCTGACACTCAAGTCACCAGATGGTAATGGCAGACACATTCTTTTATGTTGCTCATAATGACAGAAAGTCAGCATAATGATAGCACCTTTTCCATATGTACCTTGTCATAGCTAAGATTGTCAAAACACCTTGTCACTGCTAACACTCATACCCACATGAGGAAAAGGTTATTAATACGTAAATGGCCAGTGTGACCAAAAGTGCTATCCTATGAAAAATTACTTACCTCATACCAAACTACATGCAAACTCATTGCTAAAATAATACAAACAAAGGCTTGTTTTTAAAAAGAAAGGAGACAATACTCTAGGACATTAAGAAAAGTAAGTCATTTATTTTAAGGGAAGAAAGGGAAATATGAAAAGAAAAATGAAACTGATGACATAATTTTCCTCACAATATAAATTCTAGAATGGTGAGCTTATCAGGATTAAGAATCATAGCTAATAAACTTTCTGAAAAAACAGCTTGAATATGTTGAATAGAACACTACTGAAATCAGAGGAAACTTGCCAGAGGAAGTCAGTTGTTTTAAATGGAATAGTAAGAACCATATATTGAGGCCACAATCATATGAAACTCAACAAAATATCTTTTGTCTTCTTGCAACCTTCCATTTTTAGAGTGGGAGAGAACACTCTCCCAGAAAGTCATGGCCTCTGCTGCAGGCCCAGGACGTGCCAGTCACCAACAAGCAGTTCCTTCTGCTCAGGCTCCATGAAAGTATAGCTAGTGTCTCATATTAAGCCAAAGAGTGTAAACCTACTTCTACATACATATTCTGAAACTTAGGAACTGCCACTTCTGGGATGAACAACATCAACCAAATAAGTAAAGGCAACAATCTTAGGATGGATAGAGATAACATACCTCAAGAAGCCCATGCCTTTTATGGAAGCTGTTCCTAGGCCAGTTCTGGCCAATTTGCATCCAACTTTTTGGACCACACATAAACAGGAGTCCTATTCTCCTTAACCTCTGCTAGAGGCATTCATTCTATGGATTTCAGTTTACCCTGCCACTGCTTCAACTGATGGGAGTTTGAATTTCTACCAAGCATGTACAAAACAGGAATGCATGAGTCACTTGGAGCTAGAGTCACAAGAATAGGAGACAACAGTTATCTGTTAAAGCAAGCTATAGAAAACAGGCAATAGGCAATGCCTGAACTAAGGCAGAAAGCCCAAGATTATGTCTGATCTTTTCATTATGAAGTATTTCTAACATAAATAACTTATAAGACAACTAAATAAATATCCATGCATGCTCCACCCTATCTAACTTCTAAATCTGCAAAACATTTACTTTACATAGTGTAATATTAATTTGTGTAAACTTTTTAATTTCTTGATCTTACTAAAAGTTGGTTTTACTAGGATATTCAAGAAAGCAAGTTTTAGCTGTGTTGATTATCTTTACTGTACCATTTCTTCCAATTTTATTTAATGTATTCTTTGTAATCACTATTTCCTGTTTTCTCTTTTGAGTTTGCTATGTTATTGTTTTACCAACTTACTATTTTTATAAAATTCATTTTCAATCTTTTATTTAAAAATACATTTTTTGGCTATAATTTTTCTTCTAAATTCTGCTTTAGCTGCATTGCCATAGCTTTTTTTGGCCCTTTATTTATAAATATTTTATAGTTCCACTATTTTTTCATCTTTGACCCTCAAATTATTTAAAAACTTATTTAGATTTTTGTTATATCCAAATTGGGGTGTAATATGGATCATTAGCTTTACTTCATTTGTGTTTTTGTGTGCTCAGTTTTTCTAAATGCTTTATATGCCTTTCAAAAATTGAGGTTCCTAGTAGCAGGTCAAGATTTTTAGTTGTATTATCCAAATCTCCTATCTTTATTAACTTTCCCAAACTAGATAATAATCATCTACTGCTACTGTGAATTTGTCAAGTTCTCCTTATAATTCTAGCAACACTTGCTCTCTATATTTGGAGGCTCTACTACTGAGTGCCTGCACTCTTACTGTTACATAGAGACTTCTTGGTAATTATGTCTTTTGGCAGTAAGTCAGGACTTTATCTCTAATAAAGTTTTTGCCTTAAGATTAATGTTATTTAATGGTAATATTTCTGCACCACTTTTCTTTTGGGTAGTATCTGCCTCATATTATCTGGTGTCCATTTGTTTACTTTAAAATTTATCATGTCATTATGTCTTAGGTGTGACTCACAAACAGTATTTAGATTTTTCTAAAATAAAATTTCAAAAGCTCGGCTTTTCCAAAACAGCAATTTAATCCATTTACATTCACTATACCTGACACATTCAGACTTATTTTGACTCTCTTGTGTTCTGTATTCTGCTAAGCATTTTCTTTACTTCTCCTTCTTTTTCTTCTGCCTTATAGTAAACTAAGTTTTCTTTATACCCCTCCCCCTTCTCTCTTGGAAGCAAGACATTCTACATCTCTTTCTTTACAAGTCCTCTCAAAAAAAATCTTAAATGAATCAATATCTAATCTTCATCAGTGCCTCCTTCATCATTCTACATATAAGTAATTTAGAATGCACCCGCTCTAATTAGAAAGGCTCCATCTCCATCTCCCATCAGCTTCCATGTTATTTCATCTATTTTTGTTCGGCCATCTTGTTTGCAAACACAGCTTCCCAATTATTCTCTATGATGCTTAATTTTATGTGTCAACTTGACTGGACCACGGGGTACCCAGATATTTGGTCAAAATTATTCTAGGTCTGTCTGTGAGATTATTTCTGGATGACATTAATATATGAATACAGACAGTAAAACAGATTGCCCTCTCTAATGTGGTAGACTTCATCCAATCCATTGAAGGTCTGACTAGAACAAAAGGTTGAGTAGAAGAGAATTATTTCTGCCTTAAGCTGGGACATCACTTTGTCCCCCTGCTTCTCAATGCTAACTGAAACACTGGCTCTTCTTGGGTTTCAAACCTGCTGGCCTTCAGACTGGAACTACAACCATGGGCTCTCCTGGTTCTCAGGCCTTCAAACTGGAACTGAGACAACATCATTGGCTCTCTGGGGTCTCCAGCTTGCTAACTGTAAATATTGAGACTTATCAGTCTCCATAGTCTTATGAGTCAATTCCTTATAATATATCTCTTTACACACAGAGATTAATTATCCAATCAGTTTACATATATATTGCTTAGAGAAGAGACAGAGGCAGACATACTCCCCATTTGTTGTGTTTCTCTGGAGAACTCAAATAGTTGCTTTCCATTGTTTAAAATACTTGATGCT